ATCCTTCGAACCGTGATCCATCGAAACGTCGATATCCACTGTCTCCCCCGTCCGACCAAACAGCTTCCGCTGCTGCCCGATTGATACCTCACCGAGGGGCATCAAAGACGAGAGACACGAGGCAAACCAGTCGCGGCTCGCCTTCGTCAGTTGCAGGACACATTCACGAGAAGAAGAAAAAAGGAACAGAGAGAAAAAAAAGCAGGGCGCGCAATATCACCGCATGTGCATGTCCGATATGCAACCCGCCATCCAAACCCAATCACCGCTCCACGGCATGCATTGAAATCACCCACTCACGAGCAACCAGCTGTCAGGGTGCACGCAGTACGCAGCACACACAGCACATCCTTTCTCGACACTAAGCCTACCTTGTAGATCCAAGGCCGTGAGACCCTCACCACACGTCCACCCCCCCTCGACTCCCGACTCCCGCTACCGCTACCGCTCCCGCTCCCCTTTTTTCCTCCACCACCCTCAAAACTCGTCGCACTCCCGGATGAGGCTGGCCCCAGCCCAATGGCCTATCGAGATGGCGCAGAGTTGCACAGGAGAACGAGCCGTCGGCGGCATCCCCCCAGCCCGCCGCAAATGGCCGACTATGATTGGCACCCGATCCCTCACCCTCACATGAGCCCTCACCCCAGCGTCGCTGCTGTTGAGTCCGCCTACGACCCGATGCCCTACCGGAGACCCAGAGACTTTATACAAGGGCCCGACAGCACGAGCTCACCCTCGCCCTTGGGAGCACCACCGAGAAGAATTGTGAAGCTCAGCAGTGCGCCTCCCACTCCAGGAGCCACGATGCCCAGAACCCCAAAAGCCGGTGCTCCGTATAGAAGGGGAAGGGTCCCAGTGGACAATGGCTATAAGACGTACGACGAGGAAGAGGAGGAGGAGGAGGACAACGAGGAAGAGTCAGATGACAGTGAGGAGGAGGAAGAGTCCCCCCTGGCTAGACGGCGGCAGCAGCAGTCTTCCATTCGACACCGTAGCCGCAGCACCGCCCACCACTCGAGGACGCGGCCGCCGGTCTACGAGTCGAGACGGTCGTCGAGGTATTCGCGGTCTGAATCCGAGTCGGAGTCGGATGAGGACTCGGAAACGAGTGACTCATCCGAGGAAGAGAAGCGAGAGACACGGCGAGAAAGGGAAAGGCGGGAGCGGGAGAGGTACCAAAAGGCAGCACGGCATGCTCAGACCGTTGTCGAGCGGCGGACGCCTCCATCAGCCGATAACACGACCAAGCGCCGTAGAAAGATCAAGAAGATCATCTATATGGAGGAGGACGGCTCCACGGAGCCCACGCCGCGGCAGTCCCTGGGCGACCTCAGCCGCTCGTCTTCACGGCACCGCTCTCACCCGTCCTCGTCGCGTCCGGCATCCGAGAGACACTATCCCAGACAGCATTCGTATAGTCCCGTGAGGAGATCGAGCCGTCATCATTCGTCGGCCAAGACGTACGAGATCTCTCAACCTCCCAGCGCCACCAAGAGGTTGGCGTACGAGATTCTTCCAGATAGGAGTCGTCTTGACGTGATTCCCAGTAGGCATTCCAGGAGACACCAGTCTCAGGTTGTGTACCCAGAGACGCGGTCGATCCGCCGCTCCAACACCGTATCAGGGGCATCGCATGTCACGTCGCACACGCGAAGCACGACTTCGTCAAGTAGGCCGGCGTCTACTCTGGTGGGAAACGTCCTCACAGGGAGCACCGTCTCCCGCTCGTCAGAGAAGCCAGGAGCCAGGTATGTTTGTCTACGGGTGCACGTCTGCACCAGCTAACATCGTCCAGAGTCGAGTGCCTCATATGTATGGAGGAGTTCCAGCCGAGTAGAATCGCAAAACTCAAGTGCGGCCATCGACAGTGTGACGCGTGCCTCAAGAGACACTTTAAACTCTCCATCACAGATCCGCAGCAGATGCCTCCAAAGTGCTGTGTCGCAAACATACCCTTGAAACACGTGGACCACCTGTTCACGCCCGAGTTCAAGCAGAAGTGGAATAGAAAGTTTTCAGAGTTCACGGCGGCCAACCGCATCTACTGCCCTTCGAGAAAGTGCGGCGCGTGGATAAAACCCGAACACTTCCGCAACGAAGGGGGCGGTCGCCAGTCCACAAAGTGTGGCCAGTGCAAGACCAAAGTGTGCTGCTCTTGCAACGGCAAATGGCACTCATCGAGGGAGTGTCCCAGCGATGAAGAGACGACGAGATTCCTAGACCACGCCAAAGACGAGGGATGGAAGATGTGCTACAAGTGCAGTCACATGGTTGAGCTCAAGGAGGGCTGCAACCACATGACATGGTCAGTGTTCTTTGGCATTTGGTCTGGATCTCCTGCTGACGCGTGGTAGTATTTGCGGAGCACAATTTTGTATGGTGTGCGGCACCAAATGGAAGAGCTGTGATTGTCCTTGGTTCAATTACGAGACGGTCGAGGCGGAGCGGCTTAACGAGATGCATCGGCCGTTGGCGATGGGCCGAATGGAGCAGCCGGACCCGGGCACCGAGACCCCGAGAAGCGCGAGAAGTATCCGATCAGCCGGCGTGGGTCACACGACGCCTCGTTCGCGTTCCCAAGAGTACGACAACCGACTGATGCGGAGGTTCCAAGAGAACCGCGACGAGGACCTCGCGAGGACGATGCAGACGTACGAGCTCGATGAGGCGTATGACCGAGGGTACGGGGACCTCGTTGGCATCGGCAACACGGCGGGCCACTTCATAAATGAGGACTATCGCAGAGACACCGACGTATTCGCATCCGCACCTATACCGCCTGCGCCAACGCCACCGACGGCGTTTGAGCGACCGCCGCCGACCGATTACATGTCGGGTGTCAACCGGGCGAGAGGCCTCCCCCAGGATCCTCTGGGGCAACGACTGGCTGAGCGGTTCTCCGAGTCGCGTTCGAGTCCAGGTGGCCCCCGGCCGGGTATGATGGCGCCGCCGCCACTGCCACCGCTCGCGGCCATGACGGCGCCCATCATGGGTCCTCCCCCTCCCATGATGGGACCGATGGCCATGGGCCCGCCGCCGCCGATGCCACCCCCGATGCCGATGCTGCGACGGCACACAATGGAAGAGGAATTATACAACAGCGTCAGATCGATGCGGCCGTCCGAGCGAATGACGCCAGGGCGGATGATACACGACTACGAGATGGAGGCGGCGGCGCACGCGCATACGCCCCGGAGCCGGAGACGAATGCGAGAGGAGCCCAAGTCGTCGACGCTCGCCGGGCTCACGGGCATTGGCCGCGGCGTGAACCGGGTGCATGAATGGCGAAACTATGTGTGGCCTGGCCAGCCCGAGGGTGAACACACGGCCGTAGCGTGATGCTTTACGACAGAGAAGGGGAGTCATCCTACGAACAGACCAAAAAAAACAGCGAAACACAGCACACAACACGACTTATGATTTTGCGAATTTTCCGGCCACGTTTTCTGTTCCACATTGCGCGCGTTTACGGGTTGCGGGTAGGCTGTCTGCTATTTCCATATGGTGATGGGGTGGGTGGGTTATTACTTTTGCATGTAATACTAAAGGCGTGATATATCCTCAGATGGAACATGGATTTAGGGGCGGGCGTGGTTTTCTCGGGGAATTATAGGTACAGCACGCAAGGTAGTGGTGAAGTTTCAACGAAGCATAACATACAAGAAGTTTTGTTGCCTTGCCTTGTGTGCTTGCCTCGCTCAGGTCAGCACAGTAAAGCAGAGCACAGCTGGCTCGGCTCGTTTCTCATGTGAACTACGCTGCCTCGGGTCGGTTCGCCGTGAGTCTGTAGGTTGTGAGCTTTGTGTTTGCTCGGATCCCGACCGTCTGATGTCGTGGGTCAGGCGAGACGTGGAGGATGCCTATTTTGGAGTATGGGCGGCCACGTTTATTTTACGAGCAATTTCTGTATACTTTTTTTTTTTTTGGATTTTGCCTGGGAGATTGATTTTGTTTATGTTGATTTTGCTGTTTTGATGAGTTGTTGATGTCTTTGTTGGCATTTGATGGAGTTTGTGGGGTGTGTGTGGTGTACTCTATGTGAGAGTGTATCGAATCCAAGCTTTGACTGTGTAGTTGTGTACGGACCTGGGTCCGGGGTTGCGACCGGGTTCGCACCGTTGGACCTTGGACGTGGGAAACTGAGGCGTTTGGCTGGCTGACTCGTTTGGTATGGTTCATGTTGATGTTCCCCGTTGCGCGTTGCCCGTTCCCCGCTGGCTGGCTCGTGACGTGGACGGTTGGATGTGGATATGGGAGGTTTTTTTGCATTGACGGGCTTATTTCGCACTATCTCAAGGTGGTACTTGCCTGGGTTTTTTGTGAGTGCTTGGCCACATCACATGTATTCCCGATCTCACTGAGTAGGAGTGGGAGTGGGAGTGAGATGGGATGAGATGAGATTTGTTGTAACCTATCGTTGCATTCAGCCGACGTGCTCGCATAGGTGAGCGCACGTCCGCGATGGAAAAAGTATGATGAGTTGGCAAGGTGAAGTGAAGTGAGTGGTGCGATACGTCGGATTTCCTCGTGCGTTTGATCTCAGCCGTAGACAGTGCTCTGTAGATCTGTCAAGCCTGAGGTTCAGTGGTTGATTGCAGAACAGAGTTTGGCGCAGCGTTGGGAGATGGATGAGACCCCCCACCGATGGACATCTCGATTCGATGTTCCATCGATGGGAGTCTGGCGTGGTTCACCCCGGTAAGGAACGGCCTCCCATGTGAATCTCGTGGCTCTAACTAGGTGCCGCGAGACTGATATGTATGTAGTGCAAGGTCCCAGACGGTGGGGTTTTAGGCTGGACTGATCTTTTTGTGCTTGCGGCCTTGGCGGGGGGGTTTGGACTGGTGACAATCTGTGTCGAGAGAGGTATGGCATTTTCAACTTTTGCTTGTCATGGGTCGGGCATGATTTGAGAGTGAGTGAGACTTTACACATAAGCCCGTCTACTAATGTATCCCTCTCACACATAAACCCGTCTACTCATGTGTGCATCATCCTTCTCACAAATCCTCCCAGATCGGATCGTGGAAAAGCGTGTTCGATGACCTGGATCTCATCGAGGCTCTGCGAGGAGGGACCCTGCTGCGTGACAAGGCGACGAGAGTGTACAGCACCGTGTCACTGTGAGTCCTCGTGAGGTGGATTCGTGGATTTCGGAGCGTTGTAATTTGAGGCGGGCATGGCGGGGTTGTAGACGAGGTATCTCTTGTATGGCTGTAGTGCGAAAAAGTACTTAAAAGCCTAGCACTCGCTAGTTGTTCATAGACTGACGGGGAGGATGAAGAACTGGGACGGGAGGAGGGGGCCCCAGGGCTGCCGAAAAGGCTTCGCCCTTCGCCCAATGACGTTGACGTCGTCTGTGCGTGCTGTACGCTCTTTAGCGGGCACCCAAACCGAAGCACCCACGCACCGGTGGCACCCAAGCCTCCCCCCTCCACCCCTGTCCCTGGTCTGCCGGATCCCTCGTGCTCTCTTTTTTGCCCATCGGCGCCATCGCTCTCGGGCTGCTCGCTGCATCTTGCTGGCCGCTCTCGTCGGGGAATTCGACATTCCACCTTATGCAAAGCTTCGCCCTGCCTTTACTTTGAGCGTTCAACCTGGAACCCGACATAACGTACCTTACCTCGTGCCAGCTGTACTATCCGGGGGGCACAGGGCCATCCAACCTCAAGCTCCGTCTTTCTCCCCCATCGTCTTTCTCCTTTCCCCATCTTACCTACACTCACCTACAAAGTCTACAAAGTATCCAAAGTACACCCTCCAATACCTTGCCTACGACCGCACGTATTTGTACTTTGTCACTCCGAATCCTCCTACCTCGGGTTACACCTCACATGCCCTCTCGAATTTTCCTCAACCATAGCCTCCCAATGCAAGACGATTTACGCGATTCCGGCTTCAGCACGTATTAAAACATCCCGAGCTCCAACCGTGCGATCCTCAGCTTCTTCACCCACAACTTCTCGTCGAAACCCCTCCCCACCCCCCGATTCGAATCACCCAGAGATGACGGCGTCGACAACGTACCGAAAGTAGACAATCTCCCCCCCACCCCCGGCAGCACAATGCTCCTCGTATACCAGGTCGGGAGCGTCAAGATCGGAGAGGTCGTCCGCTACACCGTCACCTACACGCCTTCCCAGGACCGAATCCTGCCCTCGCCCGAGCGTCTCTACCTGCGAGTCCGCAACACCTCGGCCATTGCCCTGCGCGCCGCCTTCGTCCATGGTCCCTACACGCTGGGCGCCGCCGCCTATCCGTCCAACTTCGACCCCAACGTCAAGTTTGCGAACCCGCGCCGCTATGGCGTGCCCGAATTTGAACCCATGCTCAAGGCCGGCGGCTCGTGGGAGTGCGAGCTGGTCGTGCCGGAACACATAAGGCAGAGCGCGGGTACCGGAGGTGGCGCACATTTCGGCGGCGGCGGCGGGGCATCCGGGGCACCCGGTGAAACCGAGACCGAGTGCGCCTCGTGGATCGTCGAGGTATCGTCGCAGGTCATCTTCTCCACCTCGGCCGCCGTCGGGTACGAGGTGACCATTGCGAGGGATGCCAAGTCGCTCAACCTCAGCTCGTCGCTGCCCGTCATCGGCGGCCAGGCGCAGGTCCCGCAGCCCGGCAAGGTCGCCGATCACCAGCAGAGCATGGGCGCCAAGGACGGCCATCATCCGGCGCAGCCGAAGGGCGTCTTCTCCAAGGCAATACGGCTCAAGGTCGAGGACACGGCCGCGTTGTGGAACACCCCGAGGCTTCCGGGCTGGGACGACCTCAACATTGACCGCCTCAAGAGCCGCGCGAAAAAGGACCAGCCCGTAGAGAGCGTCGTCACCCAGGATAGGCAGACGGACGGAAAGCCCGAAATCAAGCAGAAAAAGGTGCACCTGGTCGTCCTCACCCACGGCCTGCACAGCAACCTGGGCGCGGATATGCTATACCTAAAAGAGAGCATCGACCAGACGGTAGCACAAGCAAAGATTGATGCCAAGGCCCGGCGTGCCAAGGAGCGCGCCGACAAGACGGACAAGGGAGAAGACAAGACCCAAGACGATAGCCCTGCAGAAGACGACGGGGACGATGAAGAGGTCATTGTGCGTGGCTTCTCGGGCAACGCCACAAAGACTGAAAGGGGTATCAAGTACCTGGGTAAGAGACTGGCTAGGTACATCCTGTCCATGTCGTACCCCGACCAGCCGTTCTTGCCCTCAAAGAAGGGACACGCAGAGTCCGCTGTCTCTGCCGTCTTCAACAAGCCGGATTCAGACAGCAGCAAGGCGGCCCACAAGCACAGCACGATACACGAAAAGGAGTCGGACGAGAAGCGTCCGTTCAAGATTACCAGCATCAGTTTCATTGGACATTCCCTTGGGGGCTTGATTCAGACATACGCCGTTGCATACATACAAAAACACTCGCCCGAATTCTTCACCATTATTAAACCAATCAACTTTGTCGCCCTCGCCACGCCCTTTCTCGGCCTCAGCAACGAGAACCCTCTCTACGTCAAATTCGCCCTGGACTTTGGCCTGGTCGGCAGGACGGGTCAGGATCTCGGTCTCACATGGCGAGCGCCCACCATTGCGAGGAGCGGGTGGGGAGCCATTGTCAGCAACCTGGGCGAGAGCGCACACAAGAGGGTCATGGGCGAGGTGCAGCCCGAGTCGAAGCCTCTGCTGCGGATTCTTCCGACGGGCCCAGCGCATACCGCGCTCAAGAAGTTCCGCAACCGTACGGTCTACTCCAACGTTGTCAACGACGGCATCGTGCCGCTGAGGACGAGTTGCCTCTTGTTCCTGGACTGGCAAGGACTGGGACGCGTGGAAAAGGCACGGCGGGAGGCAGGCTTGGTTGAGACGTTGGTTGGGGCCGGCTGGGCCGAACTGACGGGCGGCAGTCTGGCACCGACACCGAGGAGATCTAGCGCATTTCTGCCACCAGACGAGGGAGAGGTATCGGACGATCACTCTGGGAATATCACGCCTACAGCACCGACAGATGCGGTTGAAGTACCGCAGCCACCACAAAATGCCATGGTCGAAGATGACCGGGCGAGTCTGCGGTCGGTGCCCACGCCGTTCAATGAGAGCGGCCCTGAGGATGCCAAGGATACAAGTAGCGGCCCGTTTGCCGGCTTCTTCTCCCTGTTCAAAGGCAGCGAGCAGACGCAGGCCAAGACGCAATCAAAGACGCCCAGCTTGTCCAACAAGCAAAACAAGATTTACAGGCGCAGTCAGACGATCAACTTTGACGAGATCCCGCAGACGTCGGGCACAAAGGTCACGGCAGGCCACGAGCTGGAGCGGGATCAACAACACGTCGCGCCGCCGAGGACGAGCTTCTTCGAATCTGCGCACGACCTGATCAATCCCAAGATCCCGACGACGGAGTACATCATTGATCCCTCCAAGCGGCCCAGAGCAATCTTCCACGACCGCGTGTACCACCCGAGCGATATACCGCCTCCCCCGCTGAAGAAGAAGCCTACCGGATCGTTGGCGTCTAGGAGAAGCACGTTCCGAAGGGCTGCCTCAACGGGGTCTGGCGGCTCGAGGACCAGCACGGACTCGTCGCCGCACCCGTCGCAGCGCTTCTCGCACGAGGGCACGATGGACTCGACGCGAGACTACGACGACACGATCAACACGAACCCCGACAAGGGTCCCGACGAAGAGATTGACGGGTCGCAGATGCGGGTCGAAGAGAAGATTGCCCGGGCCTATCACCGCGGTCTGGCGTGGCGCAAGGTGCTGGTGAAGCTGGAACCCGACGCGCACAACAACATCATCGTGCGTAGGATGTTTGCCAACGCCTACGGCTGGCCTGTCGTGAAGCACCTAGTCGACGCGCACTTTAGCGATTCCGCTACAGCGAGAACGCGCGACGAGGACGAGGGGTCCGGCGAGCTTGCGCTGGACATGGGCCAGGCGCCGAATAAGTACGGGGACGAAGTCAGGGATAGCGGCGCCGCGTCGACGGGCGGCGATGGATCTGACGAACGGCCGATTGCGGGCATGTTGTCTCCCAATTCGCAGCGGGAAGCCGCAGATCGGGTGCCGGATATGCAGGCGCCGCCGAAACGACGTTCATCGTCGCGCAGCTCGTCGGCCAGCCCGCCTAGGATCACGCGGGCGACGAGGCCGCAGCGGCCCGAGAGGGTTGACTCCATGACGTGGAGCGATCGGGACTGGGCGGACGACAGCGATGATAGTGAGACGACGGCGACGACGGCGAGCGTCAAGAGTCCTGTGGTGGCGGAATTCAAGGATAAGGAGGGAGGTAACCGGTCGTCGACGCCGCTTGGTGGGTGGAATTGGACGGAGAAGATTGTGGGGAGGGGAGGGTCGAGCCGCAAGACGTCGCCCAAGCCGGAGACTCAGGCTGATGGGAAAGCCGTCAAGAGTGACGTCAAGGGTGATGTCAAGACTGTTGAGGGCGTCAAGACTGTCGAGGCTGTCGAGGCTGTCAAGCCTGATATCAAGGCCCCGATCAAGGCTGGCGACAAGGCCGATGCCAAGGCTGATGCTGAAGCTGATGCCAAAGCCGATGTCACAAACGGTGCCGTCAAGAGCGACGATGTCAAGAGCATTGACAGCGGCGTCGACTAACGACGGGTGGTGAGGGCCGGCGTGCACATGAGAAATACCTACATTACATACATGCTTTTAATCGATGAGATCACGTTTTGATGACTTGTTTGACCATGAGATATTCGATGAAGTGACAGTTATCATGAGAGTGATGAGTGTAGTATCAACCGTCGGGCAACACTGAGATGTCGTTGCAACTCATTAGTGGGTAACATAATTACACACTTTCAGGCCACTGGGAGGTATGTACCTGACTATCAGCAGATAGGAGCCGGGACCCCTGCAACATCCCGCTTGCGTCATCGGAGAGTGGAAACTCACTTATAGATATCTTCTCACTTACAAACTCGGTCTCAAAACCCCGAGTGACGACGGATTGAACACATCTGTTAATCATGTCAATGAGACCGCCGTCTCTGAGACTCCTCAATGGAGTCGCACGGATGTCTCGTCGGGGCTTCTCAACCTCCCCCGCCAGAGACGTCGATTTCACCCACGTAGTGAGTTTCCCGGACCCTTCAGTTTCCCGATATCAAACATCAACATCATACTCACAACCCCACAACACCGAATCTCAAACAACGACTGTACTAACACGCCCAGGTCATCGGCGGCGGCGCAGTAGGCCTCGCAACGTCCCACCGCCTCGCAACCCGCCCGGACACCACAACCCTCCTACTGGAACGCCGCACCGCCGTCGGCACCGAAACGTCCTCCCGCAACAGCGAGGTCATCCACGCGGGGATATACTACCCGCCAAACACCCTCAAAACAGCCCTCTGCGTCCGCGGCAAGCACCTCTTGTACGATTTCTGCGCAAAGCATCACGTGGGACACGCCAACACGGGGAAATGGATCGTCGCGCAGAACGACGTCCAGCGGGAGGCGCTGCAGCGCGTGCACGATTTCTGCACGGACGAGATTGGCGTGCCTGTGCGGTGGGTGGGCGAGGAGGAGGCGAGGAGGGAGGAGCCCGAGGTACGGGCGCTCGCTGGCGTGCTGGAGAGTCCCACGACGGGGATCGTCGATTCGCACGGCTTGATGGTTGCTTTGAACGGGTTATTCGAGGACGCGGGGGGCGTCGTCGCCTTGAATTCTCACGTCGTGGGCGTGCGTCCCCTAGGACAAAGAGGAAGCCAGGGGTGGGAGGTCAGCGTGCGCGATCCGTCGACGGGGGAGACGAGCGCCGTCACGGCGGAGGTGCTCGTCAACGCTGCCGGGTTAGGCGCCGTGGACGTGCACAACATGGTTGTTCCCCCGTCCCGACGCAGGGAAATGTTCTACGCAAAGGGAAACTACTTCTCCTACTCTGGCGGCAGCAAACCCGCCCCCAAAGTCAAGAGACTCATCTACCCGGCCCCCGAACCCGGCGCCGGCGGACTGGGAACGCACCTGACGCTCGACCTCGCGGGCCGGGTGCGCTTCGGGCCGGACGTGGAGTGGGTCGATTCGCCCGACGACCTGGCCGTCAACTCCGCGCGGCTGCCCGAGGCCGTGGAGGCGATTAAAAAGTACTTGCCTGGTCTCGACGCCGGTGCCCTGGTGCCGGATTACGCGGGGATTCGGCCCAAGCTGGGGCGGAAGCAGGCCGTTGCCGACGGCAGCGGGTTCCACGACTTTATCGTCCGCAAGGAGGACGGGTACGAGGGGTGGGTGAACCTGCTGGGCATCGAGAGTCCCGGCCTGACGAGCTGCTTGGCGATTGCGGAGCGGGTGGATGAGATTGTGTACGGGTAATGGCACGATAGCATGGTGCTGTGGACGAAGTGGGCAAAGTGTGATAGGGCTGTTCATTCTGTGTCTCCGACGCAGATCCAAATCGAAACGCTACAATATCCTATGCTCTGCCATGTACTACACGGAAAAAATGGACCAGAGCGCATCGGACAAGGTCCAACCACATGTTACAGTAAACACCGAAATGACGCTGCAGACTTTTCATAGAGAATGCGTGTGTAGATGTCGTCCCTTCCCATTTCATAAATCATGCAAAACTCCGCGACGCCGTTACCCCCAGGGCAGCTGTGTCATTTTCGGCTGTACAGTCAACTCCGTCATTCCAAACGCCAAAGGATATCTCACGCGCTACCGTAACGTCAAGCTGGGCTGGAACTTGCGGCCTTGAACGTCGACGTGGAACTCGTATATGCCGTTTTCCGCACCAACATACCTAGTCGGTCAGCTTCATTCAGTTTCACGCCAAAAGACCAACTCACAAGACTCTGCCATCCTCGCTCCACGAGATACCGGCCGTGTTGTCGGGCTCGGGGGGTGCTTCGTGGACGCCGCGCTCGGCCATTCGCTGCTCGGCCCGTCGGCGCAGGAATTGGTTGCGCTCTACTTGCCGCAGAAGGTCGTGGTCGCGCTCCATCTCACGCATGTTGACACTGTTGAGGAGCGGCAGGATTTCCCTGTTGCGGTCCTGAACGGCTTGCCGGAGATCCTGGATGTTGCTCTCAAACGACATGGTGTAGAGCGCTTCCAGGTCTGCCCAGCCACTGCCCGCCGGTGTCAGGCTGCGCAGACCGCTTGATCCGCCACGCTGTGTTGTCGCCAACGCTTCACTCGGGTGTGTGCTCGCCGGACGCCGCGGTGGGTGAGGAGCCGCCAGACCGAGATCTCGGTCAGAGCTGGACTGCAAGTCCATTGTGCCGTCCCGGCCCGAGTTGGACTGCAGAATGAGACGCTGGGCCGTACGTATGCGTTCCTGCGCCCGCTCTCTCGAATCGCGAATGTTGCCGAGGAGGTCGCCAATGGCCCTGGACACGTTTTGATTCGAGTCATTACTGGGCTCGCCCGCCTCATGGTCTAGCGCCCGGCGCGCCGCGATTCTCTGTGCCCTTTGCGCTTGGATATCCCACTGCGCATTCAGCCGTGGGCGTGCCATTGTTTCGGGGTCGATACGGGCACCTCTTCCACCCATGGGAGGCATGCCGCCAAAGAACTGTGGCGATGATTGCTGAGACGTCTGCTCGGCCATGCGCGCCGCGATCCGGTCCCTCTGCTCCCTCCGTCGGCGGTCCTCCTGCAGAGCCTCAAGCACCCGCGTCTCGTCGGGTGTGAGTGCTAGGTGCTGGCGCCCTGGACCGTCCAGTCGCCGCCGCCGGCTTTCGCTGGCCTCTGGCAGGATGGACGACAGAGTATCGTTCGGTTCGCCGCGGCCCTCCAGTAGCCGCGGGTCAATCGTGGCACGATCCAGGACGGGGATTTGGTCGTACTCGTCGGTGGCGCTGATGTCCAGAATTTGACGCTGCACAAACCCGCTCCTTAGATCCGCGATACCAACGTGGCCGCGGTCTTCGGTCCAAGCCAGGAGGTCATACGGCCCGGGACAAAAAGCCATATCGCGGACTGCGCCCGACCCGGCCATCGGCCGTGACGACGTGAAGGATGTCAGCAGCGGATCGGCAACGTCCGGATCAGTCAGGCTCGCAACGTCAAACACCGAAATGGTGCCATATTGTGTCCCGACAGCGAGATATGCCCCCGTGTTGGAAAAACACGCCGCAAAACTTCCTCTGCTGTCGGAGCTGTCGTCGCGACGCTGGCTCTTGAGCAGAATCTTGCCGCACAGCTCCCAGCGGTACTCCACCTTGTCGTCGTTCCTAAATGGGCCGTTTTCGTCGATTGGTGCCTCTGTACGATGGTGAATGTACAAGTAAGGGTCGTCGAGGATTGCGCACAAGAGGCGGCCGTCGGGCGAGATGATGGCTCGATTGACGTAGTCGGGATACGTCACTATATCCAGAGGCTCGACCTTGTCCTGGTTATCAAAGTCGCGCAAGCCGACCAGAACGACCGTCTTATCATTGTTTGCCAGGACGGCGGCGGACTCTGTGTATGCTCCGTGATGCATGGGGCCGGCTGCTGGTGGAAACCACATGGTTATGCAGTTGACGCGGTCGCGCGCGAGCTTTTGGCTCTTGGCAATGACGCTCTTGTCCAGCCTGCTGCTCATATTCAGCCGCCGCGATTGGCTGAGGAGCCCAAAGACGGTATCTTGCGGTCGAGGGGATTCAGAGTCGGTGCCCATGCCGAGGGGTAACCTTGCGTCGGGTTCCAAGTTGAGTTGCAAATGGAGATTATTATCGTCATCGCTAGTGCTGTCCATCTGGATCGCCGTGAACTCGCCCGTCTCTCCTCCGCAACACACCCAGCCGTTCTCAGCGACTAGGCATCGCGGCGAAAAGGAGAGAAACTTAACCGTCTCGCACTCCTTGGTCGTCGTGTTGAGCCGCTGGACATGGTTGCTGCCAGCGCCTCCGGGGAAGTAGACGAGGTTTCGTTTCTCGGCGCTGATGAGCGATCGTAGTTGCCAGTGTCTGCAGGTGGTTAGTACTTGAGGCAAGGCATGCGGTGCGCGCGTGGTAGTGGACGAAGACGCACTGAGATCGGACAGGGATACGGTAGTGTTTCCGCGGCTTCTTGGAAATCAAGTCGTTTGTCGGATAGTATCTGCGACAGTCAGTTTGGCATGGTCGAAACAATTGTATTGGGGTTCATACGACACGCCATCTTTCACAGCCATGATGGCTTATGCAGTGGCCAGAGGGTTCGTCCGTCGGAAAGTAAACATATAGGTGCCGAGGCACGCGTATCGGAGCAGAGTCGCCAGTGCAATCAATCCCACCCGCGTGCTGAGCGATAGCAGTGACGACAGGCCGGTGAACACGCAGCGACCGATGAAGCCGTGGGATGATTCGGGGTGTCGGATGTTTGGGGACGATGCGATGTGAATTGCGCGAGACGAGAGGCAACTTCCCGCATGACGTCCGTGTATGGCAGGAGGGGCCTGTTCTGCTTTTCGCCTTCGTCCTGGTTGGTTGGCGGCGCTCTGCCACAGAATACAGTGGTAAGCTACCACCTTGGGTACTTTAGAAGGGGCGACCAGGGAGTACCTCTGCAGCACGTACCCTAGGCCAGTGCCTCGGGACGGGAGCTTGGGCTGCTGCTTACCCAACGAGGCACATTGCTTACCTATCGGAGTCTTCCACCTCCCCTACCTAGGCACCTTAGGCAAGATGCTAGGCAGGTACCTCATCAGCAAGTAGTCCGGGGTCTAGACAGGCGTCCAATCCAATTGTTGGTTAATTTTCTTAGCTAAAAGACGCCATTTTGACGGGGGTTTCTAGCGCTTTAATGGGCCATCTTGGTGCACCCAAGTAATTAGTATCAAACCACCTCGATGCGACCGCAACCTATGGTAAGGTTGGCTTTGCTTCTCCATCAAAAGTCGGCAAATGACCGTACAGCCTCATCTACCAATCGTGAATTCCCATCCCAATTTGAACAGGAAATCTTGCCAGTTGTGGGCCTCGTTGCGATCCGTGATCTGGACTCGTTCTTAGGTGGTACGTCCCAACAGGTCTCAGCCATCTTAGCCTCAGTCGGACTTGATTTGAGAGGAACGCAGAGACGGGAAAGGAAGCTAGATTCTCGAACACTACGGCTCTCGGATGGGTAGGCGTACACTTGCCAACGAGAGCCGCAGTATTGTGTTACTTCAGCCTCAAATCATTGAGCAGCAGAGTTGACTGGTAGATGATCTGGCAAGGAGACTCAAATTTCAATCTCTGAAATGAACATCAGGGTCTTTGAGAGTTTTCTTGATCCAAATCGCTTATAACGAGCTACAGCATGCCCAAGACGTAATCTACCATGTTGTGGTTTCGGAATTCTCCAACCGGCGCCAAAGCACCACCGCCAATCAGTTTGGAGTTCTGCTGATTCTCTGGCTTGAGAATCCTCCAAAATATTGTGCGGTCAAAGTCCCGAAAGCCACATCGGATGAAAGGGGGAGGTATTACCCATACGAGCAGGACCCGAGGACTTTGACTGATACGTTGGATACACCCGAGAAGAGACAACAGGAAGCTGCGTTGCGCCAGGTCTTGATCCGACCTCGGGGTATCCAGACCCACCGCCGGATCCACTTTTCGGGACCGGAAGCGCAGCCGTCGGGGCCTGCTGGATCGGGTGTACTTTCCGCGCTGCCGGTGGACCTCTCCAGCTTTTCTCTGCGCAGTTACTCAAGTGCAGAGCACAAGTCGCACTCCCAAGCAGTCTGGAACAGCTTGCCGGTTACACGATGGATTGCAATTCGTGTCGAAAAGAGTGCAATTGTGAGGGCCATGAGTTGGATGAACCGTCCAAAGACACTGGCATGCAAGACGGAGGCGCAAAAACTCTGCGTGCCAGGGGATGAATGAGCAACATCAACGCGTCAGTGCCTCGACGGCAAAGAGCTCAATCTCCAGGTCGAAAAATTTCCAGCCGAGCTCCCCCTAGCTCCGTCCCTGGCCGGTGACACGTCCACTAGCGCCACGTCCATTACCTGCAATGGCCGGGCGATCCCGTTGCTTCAGCGCGGTGGCTGCCATTCTTCCGTCACGTGCGACCACGCCCCCACTGCTGCTGGCCTGGAAAGCCCCAAATTTCTAGCAGTGGAGCGCCTGCAAGTCGGAATAACCGATGCCGGGGTCCCGACCTTGCGGGATTCGGTCGGCTTCTATGACCGGGGGCGCGCATCATTTTTCGGGTCAAAAAATTTCGATCTCTCCTTGCCATCATCATTTCCTCGCATCCTCATCCACCTCCTCCCTCCCCCCAATTCATCCACTGTGTACTCTATAATAACCGCTTTTCCATTCCTTTCCGCGCGCCATCTTCTTTTCCCTCCATCCCCTTTTGTTATACCCACACACAATCAGGCAAGATGATGTCTGCACGCTTCTCAA